GAGGGGTCTTGTCTCGAGTGAGGGAACAATGGAGCGTGAGATGGGTCGGAGAATCGGAGCAGCGGGAGCGGTACTGCAGTCGCTTTACCGCACCGTTGTGACGAGAAGGGAGCTGAGCCAGAAGGCAAAGCTCTCTGTCTACCGCGCCATTTTCGTTCCTACCCTCACCTATGGTCATGAAGGATGGGTCATGACCGAAAGAACGAGATCGCGGGTACAAGCGGCCGAGATGGGTTTTCTCCGCAGGGTGGCTGGTGTCTCCCTTAGGGATAAGGTGAGAAGTTCGGTCATCCGGGAGGGACTCGGAGTTGAACCGCTCCTCCTTCGCGTCGAAAGGAGCCAGTTGAGGTGGTTCGGGCACCTAGTTAGGATGCCACCTGGGCGCCTCCCTAGGGAGGTGTTCCAGGCACGTCCAGCTGGGAAGAGACCAAGGGGTAGACCTAGAACCAGATGGAGGGATTATATCTCTTCGCTGGCCTGGGAGCGCCTTGGGATCCCCCAGTCAGAGCTGGTTGATGTGGCCAGGGAAAAGAAAGTTTGGGGCTCTCTGCTGGAACTGCTACCTCCGCGACCCGACCACGGATAAGCGGGAGAAGTTTGATGGATGGATGTATAAATTGAACTTTGAAATTTAATTCAAAATGAACTTTTATTAATTTAATTGTGAAAACCCTGAAGAAATATTTGTTAAAATACTATTTAGAGAAGGGAAGGTAAAACAATCTTAACATATTAATATAATACTTTCTTACTACAGTGTATGTACTATGTTTCGGTAGTGACCATTTTTGGTAGAGGAAGAACATTCCAATACAGTCTGAAAATACGATATAAAATGTACGGTTCTTTTACTAGATATGTGTAATTTAAATATGGTACAAAATATATATGGTCAAAGTTTTGGGAAAAAAACATACTACATTTCAAAACATTTCCAACCTGATTTGGGTCCAATTTGGTAGAATGGCCCATAAAACATGTCTCTGAAGTGCTGAAATAACAAACAGGTCATTGTGGCATAAACCCCTCTGTTTCAGCCCTGTTCCAAAAGTGCTGAATCTGTGTCTGTAGCTTTTAAATGCAATTGAAGGGCCACCCCCCCAGCCCCCTCTGGGAAGTTTTTGGTTTAAAAAAACACAATGGTGGTCTAGGAGGAGAATCAGGTGATAAGGTGGGCGGGTGTTACCTTGGTTGATTATTGGCTGCCAAACCCAAAAAGACATTGTGACATCACAAAGTGGCCAAAATCTGATCAGCTCATTTTCAGACAGGTTTTTTATATAAATGGAGCAGGACAAAAAGAGAGAGAATCTTATTTCCTGAACCTTTCCGAATCTCTTAACACACATATTTATTTATGAAAGACATGAAAAAGTGGATTTTACATAATAGGGGACCTTTTTATTCAGATGGCTAATGTCTGACTTTCTTTGTATTTATTTGCTTTCTTTATAATTTCCCCAGCCTTGTCCAAGCCCCGTCCCCACAGTGATGACTACACAACCATGAGGAAGGTGCCACCCCCGAAACCTAAACGCAGTCCCAACACCAAGCTGTCAGGCTCATATGAGGATATCAACGCTGCATCTCCACACATCCACCAGTTCCGTCCTGCTGATGTGAAGCTGGCCTTGCTGTCCCGGGCTGGCGGTTTCTGTGGGTTTGGTGGTCTATTGCAGAAAGCAGCATCTGTAGATGTTCCACAAGGGCTTGGACTGAGCCTGTACCGTGGCCAGGGCGAAGAGGACGTGTACATAGAGATGTTGGGCTCCAAGCAGCGGGCCCGGAGCCTCCAGGAGCCTCCTGACAGCCCGGAGCTGGACGACTCGGAGGCCGTCTACGAGGAGATGAAGTATTTCCCTCATGAAGACGGTCCTGCCACCGTGGTAAGCAAGGCGGCCAAACTGGAGGCCCTAGGCTTGAACCTGGTGGGATTGTGTGCATCTCCCCCTCATAGCGGGGAGATCAAACGGATGGCGGCAGGGTTGACGGCTGCCATGGACCTCACTCACTCACAGAGCACTGCCAACAGCGGCAAAGATGGCAGCTGCGACATCCCTGCCCCCTTCCCCAACTTGCTCCCCCACCGTCCACCTCTCCTGGTGTTTCCCCCCTCCCCCGTCACCTGCTCTCCTGCTTCAGATGAGTCCCCCCTCACCCCTCTAGAGGTGAAGAAGCTGCCCGTGTTTGAGACCAACCTGAACTATCCTACCGGCCCAGACAGCCCCCTGTCCCCTCAGTACGCCCGCCAGAGGGCCGACTCCTCCCCTAGCCTCACCGTCCTCATGCCAGACAAGAAGCCCACCACTCCACTCACCCCTCCACCTCCTCCCCCCAACGCCCTGCCTCCCCCTTACAGACCACCGTCACACTTCCCCTTCCCACCTGAGACCAACTTCCAAGGTATTACCAGATGTGTCACAGGAAGCTCAGACCCTCCCAAAACCTCATGCGCTCAAAGGGCAATTGGGGAACCCCTGGGGAAGCCCCCTCCCTATTCCCCAGTGAAGATGACCCGACCTGAGCCTCGGAGGGCACACTCGTGCTCCTCCTCGCCCCTGCTGTTCAACCCAGCCAATGGCAGACCCCTGACCAGCCCCCTGGATGAGCTCAACACTCTGTTCAGCTCGGGACGCAGCCTGCTGAGGAAGCCCAGCTCCGGCCGAAAGACCAGAGATGGAGGTCTGTTTCTCACACATCTGTACGCACACACACACACACACACACACACACACACACACACACACACACACACACACACAGTTACAGACAATTAAAACACAGCAGAAAGGGGATCACAGTAAGGTTGGATTATATGGAGAAAATCAAATATCCAAATATTTCTGATCAAATACCTTGATATTGACATTGTGTGTGTGTGTGTGTGTGTGTGTGTGTGTGTGTGTGTGTGTGTGTGTGTGTGTGTGTGTGTGTGTGTGTTTGTGCGCATTTGTGCTTGCGTGCATGTGTCCATTTTGTGATCTGTGATGAGTTCATGATCAAAGTCTCAGGCTGCTCTGTGACACATGATTTATTGTTCACTGGGTGATAGATTACCTTCTGTACAGCAGTAGTTGTGCAGGGTTGCAGTTAAGTAATAACCCCCCTCACCTGTTTTTGTGTCGCTCTCTGCGTCTGTGTGAATGCAGACTCGTACATGTAGGCTGTGTTTGAGTGGTAGGGAGGTGAGATGGACTATCACCCAACAGCCTTTCTCATAAATGCCCCTTTTCTACATTTAGAAAGTCCTTACATTGATTCAGGGTTAGCTAGACACCCTCGTTGGCCCACTTGAGGAGGCCCATTTGTTACAGTCTCTAGTGCAGCTGCCTCTTTCCATGTTACCTAATGAGCCCGCTCCTGTTGCCCATTTAGCATCATACTGCACTGCACAATAAGCAGGATCTACTGTGTTGGTGTGTGTTGTAGCTCAGTGCTCCACATGCAGAGCACATTCAGTCTCTGTGACACTGATGCAACGGTTGGCCTTTGCAAAAAGAGGATAAACATATTTGTTCCACTTTGTCAATGAAAAGGGGAGGGTCCTCAGGTCAGAGGTTACCACCTCACAAAGAGATTACTTTGTTGGCCCTCCTATGAAAGTGAATTTTCTTTTTATACCTAGGCTGGAGAAAGCACAGGGCAATGAGAGCAGTTACAAACTGTGTTGTCCCTCTGTGTTTTTATCGGAGTCTCTGTTTCCTCCAAGTGTATTAGTTGTGGCTAGGTTAATAATACATGAGCAGTAGAGTGATGAGGATGGGTATAAATATTTAACAGCTCATTCATGTTCTCCTGAAGCCAGTGTGACTGCCCAGCAGCAGAAGCAAACAAGACACCCTGAACAGTTAGAAAAATGACAATCAAGTGAAAGGATTATCTCTCGATGTCAATAATCACAGGCTCATGTTATTGTTGCGCTTGAATTATATAAGACACAGTTATGTCATAGGTCTATGAGTGTTTCCCATTAATTAACTACAGTAGGTCCGCAACAGTTTCATAATAAACCGAAAAAGTGTTTAACTTTAAAATGCACACATTTTTCTTCTGGGGAAAGTGCTCCCCCGGACCCTTCTATGGTCCGAGCTCCAACCACCACAGTGAAAACGATCCTGTGAAGCACTGTGTCTAATAATGTTACAAGTTCAAGGGGCAGATAGCTGAAGTCCTTATAAGAGATGGAATGAGAGCAGTGCGCAGGCTGACCCATATGCCTCACTTGACATCCTGCGCTTGACTCATCGTCAGCACCTGAACCCGCGCGGGAAAAGCACTGGCGTCATGGAAACAGTGTGTGCGACAGGGGAACTTGGCACTGGGGTTCACAACCTTGCTGTTATTTAGAGTGGGCAAAGCAAGGCGGTCTGCTTAGATCAGACTGCAGAGGGATACCGAGGGGCTTAACAGGATGGCCTGCTTCCGCTCCCTTTTCGGCTGTTAAATGACTGAGTGTGATACCTGACGCTGTGGGAGTGGCCGTGGGTTTCAGTTGCCATCCCAGACATCTCTGTGAAGAGCAGCTGCCTCCCTACTCCTCCCCTTCCTCATCCTCAGGGAACGAGAAAACCACAGGAATGCTAGGGGAAGAGGGCAGGTGGTCTTGGCATTCAGGAAATCAGTGTCATAAGACACCTCATGCCTCAACGGCAACATACATATTTCCTAAAATTGGATTAAAGTCTAATTCTCCCTAATTATAGTCTTTATTGTACAAATCAAATTACTCACAGTGACTTTTCACAAGCGGGCAACTATCAGATTAAAATCCCTCCCTCTACCTGGCCTTGTGTCCGTCAGAAACACACACCTGCCGTATGCTAAGTTTATATTTAGGCATCTTGTGACCATGGGGGGAGGCACACATTCTCGTGTGGGACAGCAGCTGACAAATTCCCATTCACACTCTCATGCACATTTGTACCCACAGTCACTTACTGAATCAGTGTGTGAGAGCATGTGAGCCCTGAGGAGCAGCAGCAGGGCAGAGTCAGGTCATGTGGAGTCACCTTCGACCAGACACATAATGTGGATACTTTTTTAAGGCTTAAAGGGTTAGGAGGGGTGGGACTCAGGAAATAGAAGATTTGTGAAGTCAACACATGACGAGCCACATTTTAAAGTAGCAAAATTAGACAGTTATGCCATATCACCAGTTTTAAACAGCTTACTCCCTACAGTGCTTTGGATTATGTTGTATCACACAAACTCTATCTATGCATGATGAGATCTTAATATTTTCTGTATCGACTGTTTATGACATGCACTGACAGCTAGTGTGTTTTCCTCTGGCTTCATTCTTCACAGGATTCAATTCTAATATCAACCTGCCGTCTGTGCAGCTACAGGACAAGAACGCCAACAACCACACACATCCTCACTCCCAAAGCTCCGCCCCCGTGGAGAACGGCAACCAGATTTCCAACGGTAACAGCCCGAGTATTTCACGTTTTACAGATAATTTCCAATCAAATCCATTTTTTATTTAAGGCTGAAACTGATGATACATACTACAGCAAAAATAAAGAAATGAACTCAACCTGCAGAGTTAGAAAAAAAAACTAAAGTGCAGTTTGAATATGTGTTAAATGTTTTACTAAGAGATGTGAGTTTTATATTGGTGTGTAGGTCTGCAGAGCGTACAACAAAGTGATGGAAGTCAGGCTCAATGGAGTGTCCTCCAAAGGCCCTGTGATCCTCAATAAAGAGGCTATTGCTATATTTAGTGTCCTTAAAAATCCTTTGAGGCTAAAACCACTGACCTGTGGAGTGAAGAAAGGAATCTATCAGGCCGGACCAGGCTATTAACTCTATTTCTATTTTAACCCCTTTGCCCATGTCACAACTAAATCACTTAAACACTTAAACTTATCTTTGCCGGAAATAAAAGCTTGCCTGTAGGAAGGGTTACAAAGAATGAGGGCGACACAATGAAGAGGCCTGAGAAATAAGAAAGAATGTATTATAAGATATAATTTATCGTTTTTTCTTAGCTCTGGCCAAAGACTGTTTGCAATAAACCATAAACGCTCAGAGAGATTGTCAACCACAGTGTGTGTCTGTGTGTGGGAGGACTTGCAGTTTGTGCTAAACAATGCTTTTGATATTGTGTGTTCAGGGTCGCTGGAAGATGAGACTCACAGCAAGTCAAACTCCTCAAGCTCCACTCTACACAGACACATGGACAGCCATCATACTCAGGTAAACACACAAAGACCGGCACTGAGCAGCACACAGATCATGACAACACGTCTATATCGGGCCTGTATTTTGTTGTGGGTTTCTTGACATTTTAAATTTAGAGGAAAGTGGCCTCCTTTGAACAATATGTATCAGTCATGACATCAGAGTTCCCGTTAGCCGGTAATTACCGGACTACGACCGGTAAAATATGCTGAAGACCGGCAAATCTAAATCTCTCCGGTCAAAGTGTCCGTTAATTTAATAATTTCCGTTTAGCGCAATACCACATCAGTTGCGCAACTTGCGCCACTTATGTGACAGACAAGAGTAGTCAATTCTAATGTCTAACACTTAATATGGAGAAAGAGATGTCCTGTATGGGTTGATTGTGCGTTGATCTGTTGGTAATGCCTCGGGGTTCCGGTGGGCATGTAAACAAATGCATAATGCTGCGCTATACTCTGAGGCCTCACCCGGTTGCATAGCGACGCTTATTGTTTAGGTGTCTTTTAATAAGCAGGTAGTCCTATCATTAGCTAGAACTAGCTAGATCTGATCGATATGGACATAAACGCGAGTGAAGTCTAATCTGACGGGAGAGAGAGAGATCAGCTGCTGCTGACGAATCGACACACAACTCTGCATGATCACATGCAGCGGTGAGCGGACAAAACACACACTTCAGGTTAGAATATCACACGTAGCTATTTTAATTACCTCTCAAACTACCTAACTAGTTATAGATATGTTTAGTTTAACTGTCGGGTCACTCATTAGCCTACTGATCCGCGAGCTGCATGAGACTGACGTGCTGTCAGGAGAGAGAGAGAGCGCTCCGTTTATTATTCCCGTGTTATTGTAAATTACTGTTCATTTTTTAATAATGTAGTTAATCTACTATAATTAGTTTGTTTAAATCATATCAATTTGTTTTAAAGCACAATAAATAACAAAGAAGACCTTTGACCGGCACTTTTCTCATTTAGTCCAGAAGATTTAAACTTTAACGGACATGTTGACCGGCGAAAAAATATTCTAACGGGAGCTCTGCATGACATGTGAGCTTGCTGTGGCTTTCTAGACAGGTGTTTGGTTACAGGATCACATTTAATGTCCTGCAAGCACACACACACACACACACACACACACACACACACACACACACACGGCCTCTGATATGCAATTGATAAAATTCAGTTGACCAAATGGAAACCATGTTGATTAAAAAAACGTACAATACAAAACAATAGCTGCATGTATTTTAAAATGCCTTGATGATTTAAAGATATAAACATATAGGAGTGTAGCAGCTCAATCACACTCACATGACTAGCAAACAACCCAGTCACAACAAAAGCTCTCCTGTAATTATACTGTACCTTCTCAACTCCAAAATAGGATTTGTATTTTGTCAAGAAAGGCCACATTCATATTTTATTACATTTGTGAATTGTGATAAGGCTCTGTCTTAGTTATCAATCATAAGACTGGAAAATGTGTTCTCAAAATGATTAAAGTGTTGTTAAAATAATAGTATTATTATTATTATTATAATATTATTAGCTTGGTGGGTAAATTATTTTGTTGGATTGACATTTTCTTCTAAATGTCCCTTTTGATCATTGTATACCATTTGAAGATGAACTGTTACAATGTGAGAAGTATTCACTGGGAGAGAAAAGCCCAGATTTCTAACTTCTCTCATCAATAGTTGACCATAATTCCTTTTCAATCTGCCGTAATGCAGATAAAACCCTTTTTTATAATCACAACATCGTCAGACAATAAAAAGAACACTGTTAGATCAGCTGCACTAACATATATAAAATGATTGATAGTTAGTAACAAAAGGATGTCATATTCATGTACAGCCACGGAGCCTCCATTACACATCCAAATGAGCTGCTAATGTTTTTATACTTGTTAAACATGAAATATGTAGGCAAATCAGCGTAATGCTTTATTATTAATGTGGCTGGATCGTGACGCAGCCACATTCTGTTTACATTCGATATAACAAACACACATACTCAAACACACACTTTCTTTCTCTGCAGTTATTTAGATGATGTCCAGAGGCTGAGCAGTGAACCCACAGACTCCAACAGGAAATTTGATTCATTTAAGACAGCGGCTGTCATAACAATAATTGATTTGCACATGTTGCCGTTTTAGCCTTTACTTACTTTACTCACATCTGTTCCACCACTGCATTAGTGGCATCTGGAAATCATAATAATGCAGGTTACATACACAGTAAAAGCTCTGGCATACCAGCGTCTGCGATGTAAACGCTGTGCTCAATATTCTCTGTCACTGCATTGTGTTTTTAAGTACGCAGCTTTAGTCCTCGAAAGTATCAGCACATTCAGATTCAGATTCTTCAATATCTGCATCATTCAATCTTTGAGTGTCACTGTGAGTGATGATTGAAGCACAGGGAATGAGTAAAGCACATAGTGTACCACTTTGAAAGAAAAAGGCCACAGCATTCACAAGGTACTGCCTCTAGAGATGTGAAGGCACGGTGTGTTCCTTCTTCACAATCCTCTGGTCCACCAAATTTTAGGGGTGAACTCACCTGTTTAAGGCTGCTTCTCACAAACTTAGAGAAAGTCTTAAGAACACTCCTGCTAATACAAAAGTCTAAGGTTGTCTCACAGTAAGTTTGGCTGCATAGAAATAACTCCCTTTCTCCTTCTCTCCTGTTGTTTCTAATGAGCTAGGCTGTTACTCTCACTCCCTCCTTTATCTTCCAGAGGGGTCATCTCAACTTTTCTCCCTTCGGTGCGGGGGCTGCCCTCTAAAACAGCGAGGGGGGGGCAGGGGGTTTCACTGGAAGCCCGGTTCACATGTAGGGATGTGGTGAGTGTGTCTCATTCCTCGCTGCTCTCCACCCTGACTAGCAGTGTTTTTCTTTTACAAAAAGAAAAAAGCCTCAGAAGTTTGTTTAAAGTAATACTCCACTCTAAGTCTATTTTTGGAGGACAAATGACCAACCCTCCTGTAGAGTGGCTTTAAAGAATGTATAGTTTAACTAAAGATGTGGTCATCTGGAATGTATTGCCGTAACAAAAGATTCCAATAACAACCAATATTAATGGCTGGAAAATTACAACACTGTTTTGATAAAAATGTGAGGGTGGTTTGATCCAAACATACCAATCTCCGGAAAATACGGGTCATCAAAGGCAACATCTTGAAAACCATTGCTTTTCCAGAACTTCATTTATTTTTTACCTGCTCCCATTATTTACTGTGCTCTTTGTCCTTTAAACACTGCTCTGGAATCAGATTAGCTTTCTGCCCTATAGAGGGGTGAAAAGTCTGATCCTAGAATCAGTGACACTGCTTGTTTTCTTCCTTTTATCAGTCATTTTTTAAAGGAAACTGCAGCTCTTGTTGCTAGCTATACTCTGCATCTGTACACTTTATCATCATTACTGCCAAAATATAATAATAAACTATAATATTTCCTTCTCCTTCGAGACAATAAGTATTGTTTGTTGTTCAGTGAGATCATCTTTATTATGATAAATTAATGTAATCTGTAAGTCTGTATATCTATATATTCAGTGATACAGGTGGTACTTGTGAAAGAGCACATCATAAGTAAGCCTATCCATATGACTGAATAATATTTGAGATATGAATATATTGTAGCTGGTATCAAAATCATCTAAGCAATATTAGGTATATATGATTTGTGGATGATTAAACTGGTGATTAAAAATGCATAAAGTAGGTTTTATGTATTTGAATACATTTTAAACACATCAAAAGCTTGAATTCAAACACATAAGGTTAATACCCCTTTCATGTGCATTTTATACAAGCAGAGTTTATTTGTTGTAATATTTTTCCACTTAAGGCAGCAACGTGATAGTCAACATCTTACAAGAGCATCTTCAAGGTTGCACATGCCGTGGAAAGGAATGCAAAAAAAAAATGTTTGGAACATTCTGGTCCAAGAAATTGCTTTTGTTCAAAATGAGCAGAGAACCTGGGCTTTATCGGACATTTGTAAAATGCATCTAAATGCATCTTTCACGGAACAGTAGGCATCCTTGTTCCTTTGAAACTGTCCTCGGATTAACAAATGCTAATAGCAATCAAATGAGCATACATGCCAACACTAATGCACATAGATTGACACAACAGAAACTCAAACTTCAATTAGGTCTGTTCAACAAAGCAGAGCTGCAGTTTTTATTGTTGCTTGTTCACTTGCTTGCTGGGATTTTCAGTTGCTGATCCATCACATTACTCCCTTCTTATATCATCCTTAAAATATTGTTTCTGATTTTTATTTTCAAAGATGTTTCATAAACTGCAAGTTGTATAACCTCAGAAGTTACTACAGATCTTCATGTGCCTGACATTATCTCTTGAAACATGGTTCCTTACTTCAGTGATCTCATGTGTTTTCCGGAACAGGTTCATTACCATGAGTTCATTCAAGAGGTGGGAACAACTACGTGACCCAGAATGCCTTTCAATTAGCTGCATTCCAGTCAGTGTTTATGTGGGATTAGCAGATCTAATGGAATAAATGAAAAGGAAAGGATGAAGGAAGAACAGGGGGACGGATAACTCTGTTATTCATATAAAAAATAGGTGGACTGTCTATTTTGCCAACTAAATGACAGGATGGCACTGAGATTATTGTCATTCTTTGTTTATCCCCTTGACGTTTAAATGGGGAGAATGACTGCGCCACATGTTTGTTATTCAGAATAACAACACTTTGAAGATGAGAAGGACAGACGGGGACACATGAATCCCCCCCTTGTTTGCCAGGGTTAACGCATCCGTGTGAGAAAAAGGTGTCATGCCAGTTTCTCTGAAATCCCCACATGACCTAATCCATTCGTTGAAATTTCCAGGAAAGAGCTCCCACATAGGTCAATAATGAGCATCAATATCTCTATCGCTATTATCAGTCCGTCTCTTTTGCCACCAGTTGCTTTCCCAGCCCCTATCAAACTGTTCGGGAAATACGATGCTGGAAATAGACACTGTGATTTTTCTCCTTGTATTACCGTTAGCCTAGGCATTTATATTTTGTAAATTAGATATAATCTGTGCAGAAAGTGAACATAAAGTATATGTGATGTACACACACGCTGGGGATCAATCAGAAACTAGAGAATGCAATTCCTGAAGAAATTGCTAGTGGGAATGCTTTATGCTGATGCTAAACTGCTACTGTAGGCTGAAATGTAATGTGTAAGAAGAAAGTGAAGAAATTAGATTGAAATGATACATGAACACTGGGGGCTTGAATGTGTGATGAGAGAAGAAAAGAAAGTAAAAAGGCTTGGAAAAGCACCAGAATATTTGAACTGCAAACTTTTGAACTAACTTGATGGCGAATGATCTGTCGCCATGCCAACGGCATTTGATGACATCCCATAATACGCTTAGATGCGTTGATGGCTACATCGTTACCAAACCTGTGAAGTTTTGGGCCGTTTGGAGCATTTTCACTGAAGTTATGAGAAAACCGTGTTTCATGGTGAGCATTGTATTGCCATGGCAACGGCATTTGAAGAAATCTCAAAACTGTCCCGTAGATGTCTTCACGGCTGGAATGTTAGCACACATGTGAAGTTTGAGCACTTTTTGAACATTTTCATAGGGGTTATAGCGACATCGTCTTTTATGGCGAGGGATGCGTTTCCATGGAAACGGCATATGATGACACCCCATAATTGACGTAGAGCTGTTGAGGGCAGGACCGTTAACCATTATCTGAAGTTTGGTGCTGTTATGACCCTTTTCATAGGCGTTAGGACAACATCGTGTTTTATGGCGAAGGGATGCGTTTTCATGGAAACGGCATATGGTGAGATGTCAGATTTGACGTAGAGCTGTTGAGGCCTGGAGAGGTGATATACAGGTGAAGATTGTGGGACGACCGGACCGTGTCCATTGGAGCTACAGCGACATCGTGTTTTATGGCGAGGGATGCGTT